GTAGTCGCCTCGTCACTGCGTCCCTTGTGCTTCTATTACCATTTTCTGCGACCACCTGACCATCGTTTCGAATGAGAATCCGAAACGTCTGGCTAAGAAACTTCCTTTTTTCCAGCGATCGAATCTTCTTCCGCACGGTTTCCTGGAACTCGTTTGTTCGTTTCTATTGACACGGTTTTGTGCACAATGCGTCATTTCTTTGAGTTCCTGTTGGAAGCCCGAGGTACCTAAATGACCATTTAGACTGTTCAAAGAGCGGTCGTTTTTGATAATTCATTGTCAGAGCACTAAGACTGTGTCTCAGCCTTAGTTTGGGAAAACTCTGGGTACTTGGTTTGCCGGGCTGATCCGGCGAGGGAACTGTTTTGGGAGAGATGGTAAATTCAGATGTGGGGTAACGAAGGCTGTTCAGGATTCAGAGACTTGTGGAAATGGGATTAGTTGTGTTAAGCTTCCTACGAGGTTGTAGCCGCTATGACGATTAGTGGACCATGCGAGTTTGAGCTGGCTTGCGACAGACGTAAGGCCCTTTCGAAGGTCCGTAATTGGTCAGTTGTCCGACGTTTCTTTCGTGATAGGAATGCAGAACAACAGTGAAAATATGCCAACCCGACACCCGAAAGAAAACCTGAGGCATTTTTCAGTCGTCGCACGATAAACCCTGTGCTGGCAAGGTGCATCGGAATTAATTTATATGCAATGTGTGTCCTGAGCGTCGGCTATGTGGGTTTTGCCACCATGTTCTACTTTTAGACGGTCCTATTTCCTTAAAACTAACCATCGTGTGAACACTAGGTACACTTTTCGAGTCACCTTTCGGGTGGCGCTTTTCGGCCTAAGATCTCCATGGTAACATACTTTATCTAGACGACGGACATAGCGATAATTAAGACTTCCGAAGATATTCCCCGATGAGTAATTGTAAATAGCTACCGTCAACTTTAATTACACTTAGTTGCAAAGGTATGAAAATGCATTTTTACTTGTCCTTTTGGAGAAGCAGACCTTAGTGTTTAATATTCGGTTTGTCAAAAACAATGACTACTACCATTTATACTACATAGGCGGTAAATTGTCAGCGCGCACGGCAATGCATTTGTTGTCCTTCTTCTGGGAGGGGCCGATCATGCCGCTTTATATTATGATTGTTAAAAACAAATTTTATTAAGTATTATGTAGTAGCTAAATTGTTCGGCGTTTATTGTTCTCAGCGCGCTCGGGTGGAGGCTGCAGCCGAGGAGGCCGCACGAGCAGCCAGTGAAGAGCGTCGTAAAGCAGAAGCCGACAGGCTGCGCAAAGAAAAGGATGCAGTCAAGGCTGCCTCAAAACGAGAAAAGAAGCTTTTACGGTCTTTGTGTGTGGATCGCTTTGACCACTTCATCGAGCCTTCGAAGTCTTCAAATCCTGCCGCCAGCCCTGATGATATCAAAATCCGAACCCTGCAAAATATGGAACTTCTCTGTACAGCACTGTCCCATTTAGAGTAAGTTAAACCACTCGTCTTCCAGGTTGTTAATCCAATCCTTTCATTCGTTTGCCTTCTAACCGTGCTAATTTGAAAAGGACG